TACTAATCAATAAAGAAATAACACTAAACAGATAATGAACAAATTTTTTATAAAAATAAATAAATAAATAAAGAGAGAGAGTTCTCGTATAGTTGTAGAAGTGAAAGAGTGTTGTAAAAGTATAAGACTATCAAAATTCTAAAATTTTGAAATTTTATTATTAATTTTTTTAAAGGAATTTTATTATTAATTATATTGAAAGTGCCATCATAAATTTATAATTAATTTTTAGAAATGAATTTTATTTTAAGTTTTAACATTATATTGTCATTTGTCAATTTTATGAACTTATTTAAATTATTAATTTTAAATATTTTGATACTTTTGTTTTAAATAAATATTTCATTTTAAAAAAATTATATGAAGGGATTTTATTTATGTGTGACTGGATGAGATTTTCATATTCATGATATTTACGCGGGGATGTGATATAGTTTAATGTTGAATATATATATATATATATATATATGTATATATATATATATTCGCTGATTAATAAACCTTAAAAATAAAAATATTGTGAGAGATAAAAAGAAAAAAATAAAGAAGAATGAGAAAAAAATAAACATCACAATGTTGTTGAAAATGAGCGAAGTTGGTCATTTTATAGAATGATAAAAGGAAGTTGTTGCAATACTTTTAAAATTCTACCACCTTTTAAGTATTAACCCTGTTAAATGATAATGAAAATACTTTTTGTATTCTTCATCTTTTAGAGGCAAAATCATTATATATATACATATATATGTATATAAAAGAAAATCAAAACAAAACCTACGAAATTAAAATAGAATTTCAAAGAACAAAACAAATATTGAAAAAAATATATCAAAACAAAACCTATGCTAATCTAATAAATTAAGGGTTCAAGCGATATTGAATAAAAAATTGAAATAGAAAAAATATAATTTCAAACGACAAAACAAAATTAAAATTGATTTCTTTTATATTAAAATAAAAAATATGAAAATGAAAAAAAAGCAGAAAATCAAAGCACACCCACGAATTTGAAATAGAATTTCAAACGGCAAAAAAAAAATATAATAAAAAGAAATCAAAATAAAACCTACCCATAAATTAAGGGCATATATGATATTAAATAAAAATTGAAGGGTAATATTGGTAAAAATAATTCTCCTAATTCGTACTAATATAAATATATTATAGATATATATATACTGATTAATAAAACTTAAAAATACAAAATTAAGAAACAAGAAGAAAGATTGAATTATATATATATTTACCTCTCACTAATATTCAAACCAACATTCAAGGATGCTAAACATGAACATTATGCTCTAAAAAAAAATTGGAATGCCATCTTATACTCTAAATCTTAAAAATCAAAATACTGTAAGAGAGAAAAAATAGGGGAAAAAAGAAAAGAACAATAAGAAAAAAAAACCTCACAATGTTGTTGAAAATGAATGAAGAAAATATGATAGTAGGGAGAGGCTGCAAAACTATTAAAATTCTACCACCTTTTAATATTATATAATTAAACACGATGATAGAAAAATTCTTTACATTCTTAACACTCATGTTAAATGAAGTGGAATTGAAATAGAATTTTAAAAGGCAAAAAAAAAATCAAAACAAAACCTACAAAATTAAAACAGAATTTGAAAACGCAAAAAGAAAAAAAAATAAATAAATCAAATAAAACCCAAGAAAATCTACAAAATTAAAATAGAATTTCAAAGAGCAAAACAAATATTAAAAAAAGAAAAACGAAATATCGAAACAAAATCTATGCTGATCAAATAAATTAATTAAGGTACATACGGTATTGAATAAAAAATTGAAATCGAGCAAAACAAAATTAAAATTGATTTCTTTTTTATTAAAATAGAAAACAAAACTAAAAAAAATCACAAAAACAAAACAAACCCACAAAATTGAAATAGAATTTCAAATGGCTAAAGAAAAAGTATATTAAAAAGAAATCAAAACAAAACCTACCCATAAATTAAGGGCATATATGGTATTGAATAAAAATTGAAGGGTAATATTGCTAAAAAAAATTCTTCTATCGGTACTAATATAACTATATTATAGATATAGATATATTGATTAATAAAACTAAAAAATACAAAATTAAGAAACAAGAAGAAAGATTGAATTATATATATATTTATTTCTCACTTATATTCAAACCAATATTCAAGGATGCTAAACATGAACATTATGCTCTAAAAAATTGGAATGAGATCTTATATCCTAAATTTTAAAACCAAAATATTGTAAGAGAGAAAAAATAGGGGAAAAAGAAAAGAATAAGAAGAAAAAAACATCACAATGTTGTTGAAAATGAGTGAAGAAAGTATGATAAAAGGAAAGAGGATGCAAAGCTATTAAAATTCTACCATCTTTTAATATTATATAATTAAACTCTATTAAATGATGATGGAAAAGCTCTTTATATTCTTAACACTCATGTTAAATTAAGTGGAATTGAATTAGAATTTTAAAAGGCAAAAAGAAAAATAAATCAAAAAATCAAATCAAAACCAAGAAAACCTACAAAATTAAAATAGAATTTCAAAGAGCAAAACAAATATTAAAAAAGAAACAAAATATCGAAACAAAACCTGCTGATCTAATAAATTAATTAAGGTACATACGGTATTGAATAAAAAATTGAAATCGAAAAAATATAATTTCAAACGGCAAAACAAAATTAAAATAAAACAGAACAAACCCTCGAAATTGAAATAGAATTTCAAACGGCTAAAGAAACAAATATAATAAAAAGAAATCAAAACAAAAGCTACCCATAAATTAAGGGCATGTATGGTATTGAATAAAAATTGAAGGGTAATATTGCTAAAAAAATTCTTCTATATCCAAACTAATATTAATATATTATAGATATAGGTATACCGATTAATAAAACTTAAAAATACAAAAATGAAGAAAAAAAAAGAAAGATTGAATTATATATATTTACCTCTCACCAATATTGAAGGTTGCTAACATGAACATTATGCTTGAAACATTGGAACGTGATTTTATACATTGACCCTTAAAAATCAAAATTTGTTAGAGAGAAAAAATAGGGGAAAAAAAATAAGAATAAGAAAAAAAAACCTCACAACATTGTTGAAAATGAGTGAAGAAAGTGTTTTTATATAATGATAAAAGAAAGAGGTCGCAAAACTATTAAAATTCTACCACATTTTAATATTATATAATCAAACACTACGATGGAAAAAACTCTTTACATTTTAACACTTATGTAAAATTAAGTGTAATTGAAATAGAATTTTAAAGGGAAAAAAAATCAAAACAAAACCTACAAAATTAAAACATAATTTCAAAAGGCAAAAACAAAAAATATATAAAAATCAAATCAAAACTAACCCATCTATAAGTTATAGACATGTTTAGTATTACTTAAAAAATGAAGCGTAATATTGTTAAAAAAGAAGATTCAAAATATTGTGAGAGAGAAAAAATGGGAAAAAAAGAATACCTACGCCTTCGGATCTTAGGCCTGAGTCACCCTCCAAAGAATAAGAACAAACAAAATAAACCTTGCATTTAAAATCAGTGAGATAGTCATTTTATATAGAATGATAAAGAGGTTGCAAAACTTTTAAAATTCTAAACACTATTAAATGATGATGGAAAAACTCTTTACAATCTCAAACATTTACAAAAAAAAAAAAATCAAAATCAAAATATTGAGAGAGAGAAAAAAAAAGGGGAAAAAAGAATACCTGTCGTCGATCTACGCTTTCGGTCTGATCTTGATCTTACGCCCCTGAGTCACCCTCCGAATAATAAAAAGAAGAAAAATAAACCTCAAAATGAGTGAAGAGAGTCTTTTTATATAAAATGATAAAAAACTTTTAAAATTCTACGCATTTTAATATAATTAAACACTATTATAATAAAAAAATCAAATCAAAACCAAAAAGATAACCAACCCACGAAATTGAAAAAGAAACAAAAACAAAACAACGGTAAATATTGGAAAAGAATAAGAAAGAAACAAAAACAAAACAACTGTAAATATTAAGCATAAATGATTTCAAAAGAAAAAAAAGTCAAATAAAAACATTTAAATGATTTAGAAAAAACTCTTTACATTCTAAACATTTATTCAAAATTGAGTGGAATTGAAATAGAATTTTAAAAGATAATAAAAAAATCAAATAAAAACCAACACATAACCAACCGAGGAAATTGGAAAAGAATTTCAAAAGACAAAAAAAGAAACAAAAATAAAACAACTGTAAATATTAAGCATAAATGATTTCAAAAGGAAAAAAAAGTCAAATAAAAACTTAAACATAAATGAAGGGCATGTATTGAATTAAGTAAAAAAATGAAGGGTAATATTGTCCAAAAAATGTTTTTTCCATGATTTCAAAAGGAAAAAAAGTCAAATAAAAACTTAAACATAAATGAAGGGCATGTATTGAATTAAGTAAAAAAATGAAGGGTAATATTGTCCAAAAAAATGTTTTTTCCACCTTCGTAATTTTTAATATATATATAAATGAAGGACATATATTGTATTAAGTAAAAAATGAAGGGTAATATTGTCCAAAAAATGTTTTTTCCACCTTCGTGCTTTTTAATATATATATATATTATGGATAAAAATAACAAATTTTAGTTTTAATTTAGGGACAACTTCAAATATGTCAAAAATATTAAGTAAAATTAGTAACATAACAACCACATTTAATTTTTTCCAGTATAGCACTTAAAATTGAGGTCAAATTTTAAAATGATAGCTTTATCTAAATGATATACAGTTGTAATATATCATATCTATGATATACATTTGATATATTACTAATATGAGTATTTAATATACTTACCATACGTATGTAATATGCATTTGGTATATTATTTATATAAGCGGATACAATAGTAATAATATTACTGATATAAATTTTTCTTTTCTAGAAAATTGAAAATTGAAAAAATAAGACATGAAATATTTTTACTAAGTTCGTAGTTCCGAATAACAAAAGGGAGCCTAAAGAATTTGAAGTATTTGTCAAAACCCCGAAAAAGGAACCGGGAGAGGCGGAAAAGTACCCTAAACCCTGGGGACTGGGGAGGGCTCTGTTTCACTCCTCTCCTCTGTTCCGATGGACTGAGGGACTGGCGAAAATGAGGAACAAGCTTGTGGGTGGAACACCACTCCACTCGAGCTGTTCTATTTCCGGAATAAAATGGGGTACGCTCTCTTTCACTCCCCTCTTTTTTCCCCCTCTCATCGTTCTTATGATTTCTCATGACAATAATCTCTCGCTTTTATTTCAATTTGTCGTTCTGTTGCATGCCACTGTCACTTGGGGCTCAATCAATTCTCATTTTTTGTTTTTTTTTTCTTTGCAGCGTTTGGTAGGAAAGAGGTCGAGAATGTTGTATCTAGCTCTAGCTCCAATATTTGGTGGCGTGGAAGATCATATGCTGCGTCTGTTGCTCCTGCCATACCTGATCCCGACAAGGATCGTAAAACTGTTCCTATAGAAGCTCGCCGAGCAATGGTCGAATCTTTTGTGGACAAGTACTTTCTTCGCTATAGTCTCAATAGTTTATTAGTTTTGATTGAATGCTCTTCTTTGTCATTTAATTTATTGTTCATGAACCGGATCAATGCTCTCTAATTTTTCATGAACCGGATCAGTCAAGTACTCCAGTTGGCTGTTTGAGCTCTAATTCCTAGTGAACTCGGATGTTAGAAAGCAATTAGTCTATTTCAAGCGGTTGTTGTAAATTTGAGGTGGAAAGCAAACCTATGTATGGTGATGCCAACTGAGCTCACTGGCTCTCATTGCCATCGATTAGTGGTCTTACTTGGCTCATCCTCTTCTTTCCAGTCTTTACTTCCATATTAAATTTTTCTGGACGATTATGCATTTTCATTGGATACTAAAGCTCCTTGTTTAAGCTCAGCAAATTGATTCCTGTTCCATTTCTTGTCACATGTAAGGATGCCTTAAAACACCGTAATCATTGTGAATGGGTTTTCTATTTTTGTTGATTTTTAAGCAATGAAGATGAAGTTGAACTCTTTTTCCGATCTTAACAACTTTATAATCTCTCTGTCAGGAAGATGGACGTTGAGTGAAAATGATGTTGTTTTATTCAATGGTAGTTTGTGGATCCTACATATTGCGTTTTATTCAGGTTTTGCTTCATGAGAGAATAAAAGCATTATACTTTTTAATATTTCTCATTGTTGGTATCTAAATTCTTGATTTTCTCGATTTGGACAATAAAAATTCATTATGCTACTAATTTTTCAAAACTAAGACAATAGTCTTTTTTTTCCCCCTTTTTTCCCCTTTCTATCTCACCTCTTTTTGCAGCCATGAATTTATCACTTTAAGCACCGCTGAACTCTCTGTTGTCTTTTCTTTTTGTCTGATTTGTTTGCCTGATTTATTTTTATATCGTAACCAATCATTAATTTTTGTCTAATTATTTTTGAAGATCTCTCTAGCCTTCTGTAGTAGCTTCTTTCTTGGCTTTGACATGGGTAAAAGGAATAGCTGTTTTTCTCTTGACTGTGGCAAATGGAAGAAGTCTGTTTTATACGACCTAATGAGTGAAGAGTGCCGATTTTAATAATTCTTTTACCTATTATAGCATCTATTATGATCATGAAGAAAAATATTTATTACATTGATTACTACTGATTACTTAAAAGGAATTTGCACGCATTCCTATGATTCTTATGTTGTAGAAAGTTATTCGTTGTAAAGACCGATATACGCAACTTGAGAAAAATAACAAATAAGAAAAGTTTTCCTGCTTATCTTGTTTACATTAATTGATTTTCTTTTTGACAGCACATATTTTTTAACCTGATCACAGAATGTTCCATATTCTTATGTTTTAACCTGAAAATTTATTTTATTTTATTTTATTTTTTGATAGGACACTAAAAGTATAGCTTTTGAAAATTTCAAGACATCCTCAGTGACTAGATTCTCTTTCCCTATTAAGCTGAAGAGATAATGGATTTGTTTTTATTTTTATACTCTCTTTGTTGTCTGCCGGTGAACGAGTTTGTTAAAATGAATCTTATACTTCCTTGGTAATTGTTTTTGGGTCTGTCAATGCTTCAAAATTCCTTATGCAGGTACAAGTCAATAAATGCTGGGAAGTTGCCATCGATATCAAATACTCAGAAGCAAGTGGGTGGCTCTTTTTATGTGGTTAGGAAAATCCTTCAGGAGCTGCAGAATGAATCTACAATGCCGTCCTTAAAGAGTAGAAGTAAAGTGTCATTTGAAGAAAAGGCAACCAAAGGTAATGAAAGTTTGTCTGAAGATGGAAATTATTTTAGAAGTGTACTCAATGTTTTAAACAAAATTTGAGCCTCAAAATTTTGTGCCCTAAGAGTGAGGCTCAAATTTTTTAGCCTTCAGTCTCTTGAATTCATTAGATCTTAAGTCTCTTTGGTTCTTTAGATCACAAGAGGTTTATGCCTCCATCAGAATGCATTGAAATTTGGAGCCTTTATGCCTTATGAAATGTTTAGTAGAATAATATAAGTTTACTACATTGTCTATTTCTCATAGAAAAAAAATCAGTTCACCACATTCTTAAAAATTATAAAATTTCACTTATGTATTTAATGCTAATGCACCATAAGTTGGTTTACTACTTCTAAGGTTTTAGAAGAGATACTGAATACAAAAATGAGAACAAAGGAACAGCCTAGGGGTCAGGTAGAGGGAGCTCCACCCAAAGAACTACAAAAAAGAGCCTTCCAATGGTTAAAAATCATCAAAAGGATATAACTGCAAAATAATTTTCTATTGTTGGAACGCTACCAAGAAGCACTGCGTTTTACATTGAGACAATAAGAATAAAAAAGGATGACATATCTTCAAATATTCTAGCTTTCTTTCTTTTCAAAGAGTCCAAATAAGGGTGTGGGTTGAATAGCTCCATAAAACCTGCCCCTTCCTTTAAATGGCCAGTCGCCTATAGCCTTGGAAGCCAACTCTCTTAGGAAGGCACATCATCAAGTCAAACTCCATCAAAATGGAGGACCACTCCCTTTCAGCAAAAGAACATTAAAGGAATTGAAGGAATATATGATCCAAAAATTTTAGGTTCCTCTAAGCAAAGACAGCATGCTGGGGGAACATCACCCGAACTGTAAATTTTCATTGCAACTTAATGTGAGTATTGAGGCTTCCATAAGCTAAAGACCACGAAAAGACTTTCATTATGGATTTCAAATTTCCAATCAGATTCACAATTGGTGATTTTAGTCTCACAGGTGCATTAGTAAATGTTGGGTTTGTAAAGAGTGCAAACGAAGTCTCACATTAGGGAAGAGAGTGATCCATGGTATATAGATGAGGACAATTATCTCCATTGGCACGAGCCTTTTTGGGTGAAACCAAAAGCAAAGCTGTGAAAGTTATTCTCAAAACGGACAATATCATACAATTGTGAAGATACTTGGAAGTACGAGGGTATCGTTGTCCTTAACGAGAGTAAACATGAGAAAAGGTGATTTTGTGGAGAAATGGCCTTGGCATCAAGCGTCCATCTTTGCCACTACCTATTTGGATGGAATTTAACACGAGATTGATTCAAATTCTCTACGTTCCTATCAAATGTATTCCTTCTGACACCCAAATCCCAAGCCTGCTATCCTCCATCCCAAAGATCTGCTATGCCTACCATTTTTTAGTTATTTTTTAATTATTTTATGGAAAAGGCGTATAAATCCAGAAATGTATGAGCTAGGGGAACAAACTCTTTCGCAATTCATTTTTTTTTAACAAGAAACCTACTTGTTTTCATTAATATATGAAAAGAAAGGAAAAAGTTCTAAGATACAGACTCCCAAAAGGGAGAGAAAAGAACAAACTGCCAAGCTAATAAAGTAAATATTCCCAAAAAGTTACGAGAGCCAAAATAAAACATAGAGCAAAACACTTGAGGGAGAATCGGACGAAAATATCCCAAAAGCAAAACCGCACATTCAAAGATCCACTCAAGATAAAACCCTATCCATGGAAAGCAAAACCAACATCTTTGCTCAAATGACAAAACTCTGGAAAAGAGATCCAAACTGACTCCAACAAGAGGGATTGCTCAAACCCACTTCAAAGCAACTAAACACCATCAAGAATTATTGAAATCAAAACCCTACTAAAACAAGGAACCTCCTGCTAGCTCAAAAAATTTCAAAGGTCCTAATAGTATCTAAAAAGTCTTTTTGAAGCTTCCAAAATTTTGTGCTTAACACTGATGAAATAAGAATTTTCCTTAGAGGAAGGATAATAAGGCCTTATTTTGCTTTGATCTTGAAAAAGGCCATCTAGATTCCTTTCTTGATTTGAACTGAAGCTGGTAATATTGTCAATCAGATATTTACTAAACTTTGAAGATTCTTCCTCTAAAGCAACTTGAAAAGCGAAACTCCATTAGTCGAATTAATAGTATTGTAGAAACTAAGGTTGGAGAGAATCCAATATGAATTATTCTCATTATTAAAGTCTATAATTATAGACAAATGTACGAGGTTGACCTAATCCTATAAGGAGAAGGTAAATGACAAATTAAAACATATTAATACAAGAATATAAAATATACTAATATATATACTCTAACATTCCCCCTCAAGTTGGTGCATATATGTTAATCATGCCCAACTTGTTAGATAGACAATCTATTCGTGCTCCATTCAATGCTTTAGTAAAGATATCTCCTAAGTGCTCTCCAGTCTTCACATGTCCTGTAGTCACAAATCTTTGCTGTATTTTCTCACGTACATAATGACAATCAACTTCAATGTGCTTAGTTTGTTCATGAAATACTAGATTAGATGCAATATGGAGAACTGCTTGATTATCATACCAAAGTTTCATTGGAGTGGTGATGCCAAATCCCAATTCAGTCAGAAGCTGACAGTGTTTTCGAGGTGCAAGGCGCACCTCAAGGCGACAAGTCCTTTGATCGCCTTGAGGCGAGAGGCGATAAAAAGGCGACGCCTGACTGAAGCGAGGCGCACTTAATAAAATAATAAATAAATATTATCTATAGTAATTTTAGTAAAAAATAAAATACTCTAGATGCAAATATTTGTACAACCATTTAATGTGCAAATAAAGTTTAACTTAAATAATTAAGAAAAATTAAAAACTTAAGTTCAAATATTTAAGAAAAATTAAAAATATAAATTCTAAAAAAAAATTAGTTGACAGTGGTTAAATAGAAAGATATAAAAACATTTGTATTTGAATTAAACCATGCATTAAAGTAGGGAGTGCTTATTGTCATTGGGAAGTGTTGCCACCAGATGGCAATTTTATTGCAGCTGTAAATTTTCTAGCACTAGCACTTGTTTAGTGTGGCTTGGAAATATAAAAAAAGAAAAGGGGAGTGGCTTGGAAATGTATAAAAAGAAAAGGTGAGCGGCTTGGAAATGTATAAAAAAAGAAAAGGAGAGAAGAACTGAAGCGACATGATTTTAATTTGCAGGTTTTTCAAATTTCTCTTTGATTCTTCTTCCATTACTCTCCAACATTCTTCCTTGATTCTTCTTTTTCTCCAACTCTTCTTCTTTGTCTAATCTTTTTCTCCAACTCTTCTTCTTTGTCTTTTGTCTTCTACTGTTCTATTGTTTCGTTCTTTTCTCAATTAAAGAATTGACGAAGAAGAATTGAATAATTGAAGAAGAATTGAAGCAAACATAGGAAGAATCGAAGAGAAAAATCGAAAAACTTATAATACAAGGACGAAAGTGGTGGACACAGCGAAGGAAAAAGCCTTTCGGGTGTGGGTATTTTGATTTTTGGCTGTGGATATTCGGTTTTCAGGGTTGTTTTTCGTGGGTTTTTAACATAAAAAGAAAGAAAAAAAAAGCAGCGTGAAACGCCTCGCTTCAACGAGGCGCTCGCCTCGTCATAAGGCGAGGGTGCGCCCAGGCGCAGGGAGGCGCACCAAGGCGAGCGCCCGGTCGAAGGCGCTCGCCTTGGCACCATTTAAGGCGCTCCCAGGCGAAATCGCCTCGCCTCTCGCCTAGGTGCGCCTCGAAAACACTGGAAGCTGATATATCCATACTAATTCACACACCAAATGTGCCACAACTCTATATTCTGATTCAGCAATTGAATGCAATACCATGTTTTGTTTCTTACTTTTCCAAGAAACTAAATTACCTCTGACAAATACACAATATCCTGAGGTTGATCTTCCATCTTCCTTAGAATCTGTCCAATCAGCATTTGAAAAACGTTTAATATTAAGATGACCAGAATCTTTATATAACAAACCACGTCCAGGAGCACCTTTCAAATAACATAGAATATGTTGTTCCAATGCAGGCCAATGGTCAGTCGTGGGAGAACTCATAAACTGACTCATAATACTAACTGGATAACCTATGTCTGGCCTCGTAACTGTAAGGTAATTCAACTTCCCTACTAATCTCCTCTAATCTCCTATACTTCAAAGATCTTTTAACAACTCCCCTTCCTTTGTAAGTTGTAAATTAGGTATCATTGGGGTACTACGTGGCTTAGCAGTTAACTTTCCTGTTTCAGTTAATAGGTCACATACATATTTTCTCTGAGATGAGAGAATCCCCTTCTTGCTCCTTATTACCTTAATTCTTAAGAAGTATTTCAGCTCTCCCAAATCCTTAGTATGAAATTGGTTATGAAGAAAAGTTTTGAGTGATAGGATGCCTGATGAATGATAAATCATTACCAGTAATCACAATATCATCAACATATACAACCAGTAAGATAGAATGGTCCGACTTACTCTTCTTCATTCCAAAGTCCTCAACCACCTGACTGAATTTTCCAAACCATGCTCGTGGACTTTGTTTCAACCCATATAAGGATTTATGAAGACGACATACCTTTCCATTCTCCCCTGAGGAACAAAACCTAGTGGTTGCTCCATATACACTTCTTCTTGCAGATCACCATGAAGGAAGACATTTTTAATATCAAGTTGATGTAAGGGCCAATGGTGAATAGATGCCAAGGAAATGAATAACTTGACAGAAGCCAATTTAGCAATTGGAGAAAAAGTATCAGAATAATCAATTCCATAAGTCTGCGCATATCCTTTAGCAACAAGACGAGCTTTCAAACGGGCAATGGATCCATCAGGATGAACTTTAACAGCAAACACCCATTTACAATCGATAGGTTTCTTTCCTGTAGGAAGAGATACTAAATCCCAAGTACCATTGTCATCTAAGGCAGTCATTTTCTCTAACATAGCAGCCCGCCAACCAGGATGAGACAAAACTTCATGAACAGTTCTAG